CCAAGTGCACAACCCTCCCTCCAGACCCTTTTCAAACCAGCCTGACCCCCTGCCGCGGGTCTGGGCACAGTCAGTTCCCTCACCTCCTCTGCTCACCCACAAGCAAATTAAAGCAGATGTTCTTATAGCTGAAGCTAAGCAGCTTGCCGACTTTATCTGAAAGCAAGTTTTAAAAATTGTGTTTCAGAATCCAGTAACTTTACCCCCACCTCCATTTCAACATCGGGTTTTTAAACATTTGCAAGTACATCTCCCTCTTTTGAGAGTACAAGAATGAAGAAGCAATGACTGTTGATAGGGTGCCTCCCTCTTCTTGCCATGGCCATGTCTGGCAGTGGCATCGGGAGGGCTGAGCTGACTGTAGGGCTCCTTAAAGAACTTATCCTTGCTGCAGGACTTGTCTCTTTTCTATGCTGAGCAAAGCCTGGGCTGGGCAGCAGATTGTGTTTTTTCTGGCAATGAAAACATTCAGCTATTTCATGTGCCTGTTCCTGGACAATGAATTACTATTGGTATCTGACAAAAGTATTGTTCTTTTGACTAAGCCCTCTCTGCCAGACATCTCAAACACAAATATTTCTTTTGGAGGTTTTCAGGCCTGCTGCATGCTGGAAAAGAAAGACTTCTGAGGACTGAAGGCAAAAGAGAAGCAATGTTTGAGAATGCTGAGAGGAAAATCCAGTCACAAGTTAGATTGCCTGCTAATGCAATATACACATAGATGGTAGGTACACCTAAATTCATTTTAAAAACATAATTCTAATATTCCAATACAAGACCCATCTGCAGTTAGCAAGCACAACTGCAGAGCTGCCTTGCTGAAAGAAGCAACAAGGAAACAAATGGGTCTGTGCATTGCCAGCAGCCCAAGCACAATGGCCATGGGTGTTGCTGGCAAACCCATGTAATGGAAGAGCCACAGCTGAAGGTTTAACAACCAAAACAAGAGACCGGGTCCAAAAGATTACAGTGGGTTTACAAGGCTGCTCCAGAGCCAATCTTGAGGCTTCTGCTTTCTGCTGGAAGGAACTTTTCCAATAGTTTTAAATGAGCTGTTTTATTTGCCTTTTTAGAAGAGCCTCTTTCCTTTCTTACGAAGCAGATGCATCAAATAGTTTGGCAGGAAAGCAGATACCCTCAAAACTGTGGACAGACACTGGCTTGTACAAAGGGCAAATTTTTCCTTGCCTACCATGTTTGTGGTTTAACTTGGAAAAACTAACTGCAAATCATTTTGTCAGTAGTGAGGTTCTATTTAATGCATCTCCAGAGGAAAAAGAAAAAACTCCAAACCCAAACCAACCCCCTCTCACCCCAGAAATCTTCTCATGGCAGACTGGTTTGATTTGCAAGCTTACTGCTCAAAAGTCCCTTTTAAATGTACAGTTTTCAAATAATATCTTCCCAAGTCTCACATGGGGACAGACTGGCACGCTTTTACATCCCTGCTGTTTGTGGTGGGCCTGCCATATGCTTCAGGTTAGGTTCATGCAAGGTGTTTCAAGCACAGCAAACCAGCAGGTGACTCAGGGTGGTTTCTGGTTTCCAAGTGCTTCAGCCACAAAGGACTTTGTGTTAATAATTATTCTTTAACCAAATCAAGGAAATGATGGAGAGGATAATAATGCCATGGTGAACCTTGGAAGAGGTCGGAAGAACAACCTGATTGATACCAGCTCTTCTAGGGTGGAGGGCCACAAGAACCAGGGATTTTGTTCTGCACACTGTGGAACAGTGAGGGAAATTCTCCACCATTTACATATTCATGGACTTGGTAAGAACATGTGATTTTTTACCGCATTATTATTCTTCATATGGCACTTAAGTGAAATTATTCCTTGCAGCTGCCTTTTTCAGAAACTTCCTTCCTGAATTAACTTAAATAAGGTAAATAGATGTGAATGTGACATCAAACTGAAGATTGAAAACCAAACTTGAACACTGTGACCAATGATTGCTGGTTCTAGAGCAAAACCAAAAAGACACTTTATACTCGGGTGCTAATACGAGCAAACGGCACGTAAAACTGCTTTGAGCTTCTGACATGAGGTTCTACCCGGTCCTGGAGGACTTGTTAAAAGAGATTTGTGTGTTCAATAAGCCACCACGTGAACCTACTTGTGTGTGCACACTAAGTTTCCGAAAAGGGGACACAGGCTGTTCATATGGTCCCAACATGTTACGGGCTCAACGAACGTAACGACAGAATTCCCACGGAGCAGGGATTTCACTCCAGTTGTCATCTGTCACTGTGGTGATCATGGATGCTGTTTGCTTATTTCAGGAAATTTCACAAATGAAAAACATCTTTCATAGATTAAAGGAATCCACTTTTAATCTTGTGTTTGTCATATTTTCCCTTTACTCAGCATCGGGTGGCCTAGGCAGGGTAGATGATGTAGAATCTGCAGAGTTAGGTTTACCCTGCACTAAGGTGATCTTTCATTCCTATTATTTTACTGGCACGAACATACTCGTTTTCCTTGAGTAAATTTATAAGCAGAAAACACCTTATACCTGAAAACACTACAAGGATATATTTTTATTTCTGAGTCTAAGCTTACTATTAACAGCATTCCCACAAATGACACTGTATTCTAGCTGCACTTAATAAGGTTCATCAGCTAATAAGTGGGTTGTAAACCAAGCAGGTTATAAACCTCTGAGATAATTGCCAACAGCTCTTAAATTAGTATTAGATGTTATAAAAAAGAATACATATTCATAGCTCATCATGCTCTCCAGCAGCCATTCTGTTCATCTGGCTGCTTTTAAGGGCAACCAAGCAAGACGTTTCAGTGGAAATTCTGTCATTCTCCTTTGTTATAACCAGCTTAAAACTTTCTCGACTTTCAGGGGAGCATACTCAAGTATTGATGGTCTATTTCATGAGTTAATATTCCTAAAACAATACTCACATTTTTGGGTATCCCAGATGTAGTTGTTCAAGACCTCTCCCACCAAGTAGAATATGTTAATTACTACAGTAACAGCTGCAAAAAAGATTATTTTGACACCTGGGCTGAGGTGCTCAAGAAGCGGGTACACCCACACTCCCGTAACGTGGTGAATCCAGCACACCCTGAAACAAAACAAAAATAACAAGTATTGACTCCGATAACCCTGTTTTTCCAGAGTAGCTTGGGCTACAGGCTTGGTCACCGTAACCTGGAAAGTAATTATTTGAAAGAAATGCAAGTTGCAACTGAACTGGAGCACCTGGATGACATCCACCCAGAGCAGACATCAGAAATGATGAAAACTATGACTGATTTCCCACAATCCTACTGCTTTGTTTCCAATTCCATATGAGCAGTTGGCCAATTTTCACGTTCTGATGTAGGCAGGTATTTCCTTGCTGCATTTTACATCTATGAGCAACACACACCCCTGTTTCGTGCGGCGGGACCGGAACGGCAGCACCCTCTGTTCCAAGCAGGTTCTTTACCCAAAGAGCATTCAGGGTTCTCCAGGCTCTCCTGCACAGCCCAACTCTGCTCTCCACAGTGTCCTTCTTTCATTTTGTACACGTTTGTGTGTTTCCGTTGCTTCTCCTCGCTACACCTGGCCAATGCGTCAGTTTTGGGGTTTGCCAGAAAGATACGGTTCAGCTTCTCTTTGAGAGAATAATTTCTTCAGCACCTGTGTTTTAGGCTGCTCCTCCTTTTCTTTCAGCTACCTGGTATCACTTGGGATCTAATATTTTTTCTCTAGACAGCATAAATGTTTTTAAAAAAAAGAAAAAAGGAACCACTTCATTGGTGAAATTCTGCCTAGCTCCACACTTAATATACAGTAAGGGGAAAGGAATGATGGTGCTTTGTTGGTGACACCAAGATTTTTAGCATTCAGCTACGGTGGAGATTGCTGGTATGCCAACCCAAGAGACAGGGCGTCAGCTTGCCCGCAGTGCCGCCCGAAGAAGCACTCTGAGCAGGAGTTTTTGCAGTGGACACCTGTGCCCTCCGAAGGGACAGCTTTTGCGTTGGGATCTGATGTGGTGAGTGGTGAAGTCAGAGGGAGCAGAACGAGTCCATACATTGCAGTAAGTGGAAGGTAAGAATCATAGATAGAATCATGGAATGGTTTGGGTTGGAAGGGACCTCAAAGATCATCCAGTTCCAACCCCCCTGCCACGGGCAGGGACACCCTCCACTACACCAGGTTGCCCAAAGCCTCATCCAACCTGGCCTTGAACACTTCCAGGGATGGGGCATCTACAAGGAAGACTTTTGATCACTCGCTCAATGGTCACAGGCTCCTGAAGGGCAGAGTCACAGAAACCCACCCAAAACCATCACCATAACCGTCTGTCACACGGAGAGTACAGAATCCCTGTTTAATGACTCTCCATCACCCTGGAAATGCACATGGTTGTCATAGCTTCCCTCCTCCTTAGGAAAGATTTTATTACAGCCAAACCCTTAACAGTTAGACACTTCATGTAGGAATTTACATGTGTCAGTAAATTCATCTGCACGATCTAAATGCAGACTAAAAACCCTTTCTCCACATGAGTTCACATATGGAAAACGATCTCCAAACTTCACAGTTATTTCCCCCAATTCTTCTGTACCAGAATTAACCTGACAAGATAAAGGTATCTGTCAAAAAATACAGGGTTCCTGTGTAACCCATGGTAACAGGGGACACCATGTTCCTCTTGATCAAAGAAAAAGACAGGACAGTTGGGTAGAAGGTAATGGGATGTCCTCTGATCCCAGGCTGGCCTAGCAGGGAGCATCTATTATTGCCTCATGTTTCTCAGTGTAATTTGCTTGCGTTTGCTGAGCATTCTGTGAAAAACAAGTTCCAAGGAAAAAACTTGGAAAAAAGCCAGTGCTTCTTTTTCACTTATTTTCTCTGGTGTGAAGAAACTGCCCAGCACTGTAAAGCACCTTTACAGAGGGACTTTTCAAGGGACCTTCTAAACTGCACCTACGCAGCCAACTTCATGAACCAAGCAGAAGTGGCATTTACCAGCATGCATTTATGCTGGAAAGAGGAAATATTTTCTAACTCCGACCGACGAGTCCCTGATGAGCTCCCAAGTATCAGTGATCTCTGGTTCGTGCAGAGCCTTTGCGTACAGCTCGTGCACTCTGCTCTCTGCTGCCCAGCACGGGAGCCCCTTCATTGCCTGGTGATGCTGCCCGTGCGTTCAACTGTCCCTGGGGCAGCCACACCAGAGGAACTCAAGCTTTGAGCACATGAAGGAACCGAGCACCACTTGGGAGACAATGGTCACAAACCCACCTGATCAGCTGCCCTGAAACTCCTTAAAATGAGCTGTACCACGCCGCTCACGACATTGGGATGGTTTGTCCACACCACAAACGGGAGCAGCAAAGGGATTTCATAGATTTCATAGATTTCTAGGTTGGAAAAGACCTTAGAGATCATCGAGTCCAACCATCCCTAATCCCCATTAAACCATATCCCCAAGTAGATCATCCACCCTATTCTTAAACACATCCAGGGATGGGGACTCAACCACCTCCCTGGCCAGCCTAAAAAGGATGACTGCTGCCATGGAAACCTCACCTGATGGCCTTGCTTAGTGGGCTTGTTCCTGCTTGAACACAAGCTATCTTGAGGCCACACAATAAAGGAGTGATCAACCACTGGCATAAAGCTTCCACACAAGATTGCTGATTACTAATGCTAATGAATGCCTTCAACGTTGCAATTCTAGTAGTCATTATTCCTGTCCAACCTCATTATTAGATAAGCACAGGGGAGCACGCATGAAGATTTACTTAGGAGTTCAATTCCAGATCCAATTTAAGACTCTGTTATTGAACAGGTATAAAAAAATAGGTCGTTTAGATAAAAATAAACTGAGGAGAAGGAGTTTAAGCCAAAACTGGACCGGCTACTTTTGAGAAGATAAAATTAACTTGAACCTCCCTATGTTTTGGTTCCGCGGCAGCCCGTGTAGATATAACCACGTGTTTTCAAAGATGAAGGTGTTACGGGTCATAGAGCTCATTTAGCCATTTGTTAGAACTGGTGAGGAAAGAAGGAATGGGAATATTCACACATTGTATTCAAATTAAAATGTCTGTTAAAAAAAAGTGGTGATTTTTGGAAATTTTCTACCAGCTGGTGTAGAAATCAGAAAAAGCTATTTGAAAACACACAATATTGCTTCCTTTTAAAAAATCTGTCAAAAAATTTGACTTTGTAGCTGTTTTTCACTTCTAGTACACAGTAGATGTTGTACATCTCTCCTATCAAAGTAATGAGGAGGAAATGAAAACTAGGAAGAGGAGATACATGTACATTTATTCTTTGGCTACAGATCTTTTGTTAATGAGGAAGAGTAATCACAAAAAAACATCAGAACCTTGTGGTTTATGTGTGCTCTACCTGTCGCTTTGACTAACACAGCTGTTACAGCACCATGCGTAAAACTTACATCCTGGTGGAAGCAAGCTCAACGTGTGGCTAGAACAGCAGATAACCACGACACCTGAAAGATTTTGCAACAGGAGACACGTTGCAGAAAATGGTTCCTCCTTCGTGAAGGCTGCTCTTAGACCCAGGAGTCTGAATATATTTGCACAGGCAGCACAGCTTGGCGGCACATTGTGGTTCCAACTCTGAAGGTCTCCACCCATTTCCTGCCCAAGTTGAGTCCTTCAGCGAAGTCTGCAGAAAACAACAATCAGTACTACGTGTTCTGGAAACAGGAACGAGTAGATGAGGGGCTGTGTAACTTTTCAAGAGCGGTGAATAAGAAGACACAGAATAATAATGCATTTCATAAAGTGGCTGAAGAGCTCCCAGTGCTCTTCCTCATAACTGAAGAAGCCCTTCAACAGAACTCAGAGACAAGAAATCCAAATCTGATAACGGAAGCATCTTTCTGAATGATGCCTAATTAACCTCTGGAATGCTCTACCTTATCTTTCAGTGACACATCACTGAAATCAAGATATCTGAAAAAGTTTTGAAGTATACAAGCTTGGAAGTCTACTTAGTCCACTCCTCTTCTCTGGGCTGTATTGTGCAACTCTAGCAAACTTCTGAAGTCAGGAGACTGAACAAGCACTAAGAGTGTGTACTTGAATTCAAAGAGTGTGAGGCATATAAACCATCAAGACTGAAGGATCCAAGCATCTACTTTTTGACATAGGTTTTGGAAGAAAACTTCCCTTACAGGCTGGTTATTCCAAAATGGCATGCTAAATCTCAGAATCATAGAATCATGGAATGGTTTGGGTTGGAAGGGACCTCAAAGATCATCCAGTTCCAACTCCCCTGCCAAGGGCAGGGACACCTTCCCCTAGATCACGTTGCTCAAAGCCTCATCCAACCTGGCCTTGAACACTTCCAGGGATGGGGCATCTACAACTTCTCTGGGCAACCTGTTCCAGTGCCTCACCACCCTCAGAGTGAAAAATTTCTTCCTTAGATCTAATCAAAATCTTCTCCTGAAGTGTCTAACATGAGCTACAGCTACAGCCTGGATACATGACTACTCTGATCTACTATGGCAGTTCCTTTCTGGTCAATTCTTGCAGCAACAAATCCTTTCCCACACCTTCTGTGCTGTTCAGGTTTCCAGTGACTCGCAGAAAGGAAGGCTGAATCTTTGGTCCCAAACAAATCGTAGGCCAGTTCCCATTGTGGCTACTCTTTACCAAACAACACAACATGGGCATTTTCTACGCTTTTATTTAATGATCTCTCCTAGCATCACTCTTTTCTTTCTCCACAGAAAGTGTGAACTTTACCCAGAACTATTAAATTGTGGAATGTCTCCCAAAGGAGGTGACGGGCTTACAGCAGCTGAGTCATTCAAAACGTGAATGAACACATCATCTGTGGTTACAGAGTAGGGACCAACCCTGTGCTTTCTGATGCAGGAGCACAATGACCCACACTAAATCTGTTTTCCTTTTGGTTTCTAACACTGAGTGACGTGAGACACATTTTCCTAGATCTTTATGATTTTTTTTTCATTTCCTCCCCCCCAAAAAACCCCTAGGACAGCTTGTTCTGCTTTCAATGAGAATTGTTAAGATCTCAGCCACGTTAAGATGCTGGGTTGCTTATAATACCAGCCAGCCAGGC